GCCGGGTGCGCTCACTGGCGTCGTCATACGCACGTATTTTGACGCTGGTGGGCGAGGACTCGGCCCTTGGCGCTCCTGGGTTTTCCGTCCCCGCTTTTGAGGACGAGGCCGAGGTGAGTGCACTCTTGAACATAAGATACTATTGCAGATGTAGCTGTTCAATCCCAATAGGGAGAAGAATATCCGTGCATGGTTTTGTTATCAGTGAGCTAAGATGTATACTGCAGTGAAATGTGATAAATATGAACGTGAATATATGCATCAAAGGTGCTGGCACTTTTTATGATTCAGCGAATCGGAGGGTGGATTAATTCATCTACGTAAAGGCAAAATCTAAAACAAAAATCACTTACAACAAAAAACACTATATTTACCCGAAGGAAAAATCCATCAATGTAGCCCTGTTTGGCAGTCAATGTTTTCTAGTGGACCGCTGACTGTGCCTGACTGTGCGTCAAGCATGTCTGATTGGCCAACAAGTTACTCTGACCGACAGTCAAACTCCAGTCAGACCCCGCTTGTCGGCTTTCTGATGGTTTCCTGGTGGCAGTCGGCCGCCGCGAAATGCCATCAGGATGTCTTGGTGGTGATTCTGACTGTACATCGATTGTCTCTGACTGTACGTCAAAAAGCTTTGACGTGCAGACAGACGTACGGTCAAAGGACGTAAAGTTCGTTCGGATACCACTATTTCGTCAAATCTATGAATACGAAAAGTAATCTATGCACGAGAAAACGATTTCGGGACGTGAGCCCATAAAACCGCTGACGTTAGAGATATGACACGCAACCGACCGACAACCTTGATCAGAAGCCCGCCGAAGCGCCGAACAGGCCGAACACGACACTTCGCTTTGCCCATAGAGGCTTCGCCGACCTTTCATGAACGATCGCTCTCAACTCGTTTTGTTTGCCCGCTTGCTCCAACCTGTCGATCCTGCCCGGGCTCTACAATGTCTTATGTTTTATTAGAATTTCTACTCGACAAGACCCAGCCTGTTGTGAGTTCCGACGATGTAAGAGACTTTAGCGGTGTAGTTGAAGACGACGAGGTGTACCAGGTCTACTGGGCCGGTGACGCGCGAACAAAAGGATCGTTCTACGACGCGAAAGTACTCTACATGGTAGGTGAGTAGAACTGAAGTACGGCGAGTGATGTACGAGTGCTTTGCATAACATGCTGACGGCTTAACTGCATTTGCAACCGAAGCATCTCGTGTAAAACGGATGGTGAAATCTGGTTCTCTAAGAAACGGCGTAGCATAGCGGTTACGGTGTGCGATTTGTACGCAAGTGGTCGCGGGTTCGATCCGCGGTAATCCTGCTTTTTTTTTCTTTTTTTTTCTCGAACATTTTGTTTTATCGAGGCATTTGGCGATATTTATGAGTGCGTATAGCTTTACTCTTTTATATAAATGCTGCCCTTGTTGATGAAATTCCCTTGGCAGTGGCAGTCAGACGTCATCTGATGGACCATCAGATGACGTCTGATGGTCCATCACGTTCCACCAAGGCTGCTGACTGGCAGTCAGTGTCCCAAATTACGTAGCTTGATGGAATTTTCAATAGGGCAGTAATACTGGAGTTTCTAAGGCCAAAACAAGTGTAGTTTTTGTGTAGTTCTTTTCCTCTTGCTTTTGTGGTTGTTGCAACCCTCAGTTGTACTGTGTGCACGCTGTCGTCAGATTCAATTTCTGTATCACAAAGGTACATTTTCACAAAAACAGGGGAAGTGAAACCTTTCGAACTGCCACTAGACGTATTTGGGGAGTCAATCCTTGATATGAATGGCACTACCTCTGAAACAGTCTAATTTTGTTTCTCCTGAGTGGAATGCAGCCTCAACAAACCCACTCTCAATATCTAGAAAATACAGACAAGTTCTGTGTGCTGACTAGAACTTATAAATTCCCTTCTAGGGGAGACCCGCAGGTGCCCAGGCAGGTCACGGGCAGCAGGCAGCCGAGCCAGTGCCCTCCACCTCACGGGTTGAGATCTCTTATGAAGACAACCAGGATTGTGTGATATGACAGAAGCATTCCTTGTTTCCTGGCAGATGTGGGGCCACCTGCAAGGCCTCCGGTGCGGCCCACGGCGCCTCGTGCCACCCCCGAATGTCGAGGCAGGAGCGGCACGACGAGGCTGCCATGCAAGCTGTCACCAACCAGACTTTCCAGCCGCAGCAGAACGAGACGAGGGACGCGCGGGACGTGGAGTTCCAAGGCCAGGTATTGGCTCAAACATGGAACTCCGTAACATGACTAAATAGGCACGAGTTTAACAAAGATGCCACTGTGAAAGTGGGACTGCAGCCGAGAGCAATGAAGATCCACAGAAGCATAATGCAAACCGAACTGTGACATATGCAAGGTTTTCACACCCTCTGGGTGTCTAGAAATATGTTGTTGCTGCGCATTAAATGCCCCGTCTTTCCAGCTCCTGCGTTCCATCGAGACCCTCAGCCACCGCATGGAGGCTGTTGCGGAGGCGAACCAGGAGCAGGTTCGCGCCACACAGGCGGTGGCCCTGGAACTCCAAAACACGACCCGCGTGCTCGCCGAGGTCGTTCTGCTGCTGACTGCCGAGAGAAGCCGAGCTCAGCGAAGCCAAGACCTGCCGAGCCCTGCCCAGCCACCCCTCCAGCCCAGCCTAATCCAGCCCCGCCCCGCCGAGCCCCGCACCGCCGAGCCCCGCCCCGCCGAGCCCAGCACCGCCGAGCCGAGCACAGCCGAGCCGAGCACCGCCGAGCCCAGCACCGCCGAGCCCAGTACCGCCGAGCCCAGTACCGCCGAGCCCAGTACCGCCGAGCCCAGTACCGCCGAGCCCAGTACCGCCGAGTCCAGCACCGCCGAGTCCAGCACCGCCGAGTCCAGCACCGCCGAGTCCAGCACCGCCGAGCCCAGCACCGCCGAGCCCAGCACCGCCGAGCCCAGCACCGCCGAGCCCAGCACCGCCGAGCCCAGCACCGCCGAGCCCCGCCCCGCCGAGCCCAGCACCGCCGAGCCCAGCACCGCCAAACTCAGCACCGCCGAGCCCAGCACCGCCGAGCCCAGCACCGCCGAGCCCCGCACCGCCGAGCCCCGCACTGCCGAGCCCCGCACTGCCGAGCCCCGCACTGCCGAGCCCAGCACCGCCGAGTCCAGCAGCGCCGAGTCCAGCCACGTATAATTTACTCTAATGGACGATTATTTTATGTGCCAAATCGGTATTTTTTGTTTGTTTTTGTTTTGTTCTCCAGGCAGAGACAAGAAATGTGTTCTTTTGATCCACTGGTATGTGGTGCGTGTTAATGGACAAGTTCCTACGCACACTGGGCTCGTCATACCGTGAATAATACTATGGGTGAGCCACTGCTTAAAGGAAGGCTGATGTTCTGCTGTCTAAACATCTTTGCAACAATGTTGACGTTATGGGAAAGTCCGTCCGTGCTTTTCAGTCCATATTTTGTTTACAAAGAACTGTGCCTTCTGCATTTGTTTATAGGAGTCACTATAACCAGTGAAGCATGTTAGTAATATGCTCTTGGCAACAGGCATGACAGATATATGCTAAAACTAGCCATTCGTCATGTTTGTAGGACAGCAATATGTAGTGTGTGCTTTTTCACCAACGGTGTCAAGTGGCTTGTGCCATGGGAATTTTATACTTGTAGTTTTCTTCCGGCTGAAACTAGCCTCTCTGTTTGCCATTTTTCTTATATCGCAATAAAGTAGAAATTTGAGCCGGTTGGTTCATGGCAAACAAAAAAAGCGCTGAAAAAAACACAGGGACGCAGACGAAGGGAAACAGGACAACACGCACTCTCAATTGGAGTTAAATTCAACTTCAGTTCAGAGTGCGCCTTGTCCTGTTTCCCTTCGTCTGCGTCTCTGTGTTTTTTTTTTGTATGTTTCTTTTCTTATATCATTGTTGATCTCAACAGGCCTCAGCTATGGAATCTGTCATGCTTCCATGTCTGACAAAACACAAACGAAATGATAGTGTACTGAATTAAGTGAAGTGTGAAATAATGTCTGTGATATATCCTTGATAATGACAAAGAATTTATACGGTGTTTACTAGTCCATGCTCAATTTCGCTTTAAAGAAAGCATTGCAACCTGTGTTTTTAAATGTGTGACAAAACACAAACGAAATGGCACTGTGCTGAATTAAATGAAGTATGAAATAATGTCTGTGATATATCCTTGATAATGACAAAGAATTTATACGGAGTTTACTAGTCTATGCTCAATTTCACTTTAAAGAAAGCATTGTAACCTGTGTTTTCAATTGTGTGACAAAACACGAACGAAATGGCACTGTGCTGAATTAAGTGAAGTGTGAAATAATGTCTGTGATATATCCTTGATAATGACAAATAATTCATACGGTGTTTACTAGTCCATGCTCAATTTCACTTTAAAGAAAGCATTGCAACCTGTGTTTTCAAACATGTTTATCTTTCACGTTACGGCATTGTTATAAAAAAGAAAGCACTTTCGAAAACGAACTACTTGTTGTCTTCTTTATACATTCAAGTTGGCACGCATCCAATCTGCGATTATCGAGTAATACACCTGGCCCTGTGGTAGCCATAATAGTTTGTAAAATGGAGCAGGGCAATAGAAGTGTAGAGAAAATGCATCGATGTTCAAACCCGATACAAACAATATATTGTTGTAAAAAAAAAAAGAAAATGGGTCTCACCGGTAGCCTCCTTTTGTTCTCAATCTCCTACAAGGACTAGCTTCATAACCATAAAAAATGTTCTGTTATTGTCCCACACATTTTGTGCACCCTGCTTACAAATTATAAAAAAGGCTCTATCAACATAACCGTGATGCACCGAATAGCTTTTCGGAGGCAGTACTACATGTCCGCAAAAGTAGCATGGTGGTTGAGCGACGAACTGCGCAAGGCGTTGGAGTTGACACTGTGGAGCTTATGGACGGCCATGACTGTGGAACAACAAGTGCAGTACATACTGCCACGGGGAGGGTTTCTCTGGTGGCGAGGGCGTCAGTCGAGGTGAGGACGACGAAGGGTTCGCTGTCGCCGGTGGCGTCCCTGGTGTGCGGGAGTACCACCGTGGCGAGGACGATGAGTGGCTCCCTGTCGCCGACGGTGCCCCTGATGGGCGGGACCTCCGTTGTGGCGACGGACTCCTTGGCGCTGGTGGTGTCCCTGGTGGGCGGGACTGCCACCGTGGCTTGCGTGGGGCTCCGGGGCGGCACGGCTGTGGCCGGTTTGGAACTGGGCAACAAGGCGCTGCCTCAGAGCCCTCCCCCTGTCCGAGAGGCTGACCCGAGGGTGGGCGGAAACCGGCCTCTCGTCATCCGCCGCTGACCCCTCCGAGCTCGACTCAGAACCGTCCGAGCTCGGCCCAGACTCCAACCCTGGCTTGTCAGGGTCAGAGTCTGGCTCCGGTTCTGGCTCCTTCGATGAAAGGCAAATATTGTGGAGCACTGCACACGCCGATATAATGACAATGGCTGTTGTGGGATGATAAAACAGAGCCAGGTGCCTTTGCAGACACCGGAATCTGCTCTTCAACAGCCCAATGCAGCGCTCCAAAACGGACCTCACCTCATCAAAAAATGTGCCTTATTAAACCGGCCGCATGCGGTGGAAGTCGCGTGGAATCCAGGGACAGGGGGGATGAGCCAAGGCTCCAAGGCATAGCCGCTGTTCTCTTTAACAGAATACTTCAACGAAATTTGAAATGTACCCGTCGTGTTCAGAAATAGGCTGAACATTATCCACACTACCCGTAAATTACAATCGTACATTTCTCTTTTGATCCTTATGGCTATATTTTTCGTTATAAACAGGCCACACTGGCAAGCGCTCGGAGAGCAGCCAGCAGAGAGCACGTCACATCCGGTGCAATTGTGATGTAATTTCTCTTAAGATGAGCAAAGCTGCGGCGAGGCAGACATCGTCAGGACGCCCTAGCTGTTCAAGCAACAAAATCGGTCGAAGCATGCCAGCGATCAGGCCACCGTAAGAAACCTCAAAGCTGCGTTTGTGTAATTTTGAGTGACGGGTTAATCTTCTCTAATCTTGGGACACACAAAAGAGAGTCCCGTTGAGTGTGCAGTTCCTCCCTCCCCTTTTCTGTTCTGCTGCCCGTTGAGCTGTCAAGATAACGTCAGGTTCAAAGCATGTATAGTTCTAGGCGAGACAGTTATCGTCACTACCTATCAAGGTTCCTAAACATCTAGAAGGTGCTCTTTCCTAATCGCCTAATTTTTTTAATGCCTTTTTGTTTCTTTTTTAACAAGATATTGGCGTGTCCGATGTGATACTGCTCTTCTGAACACGTATAGACCAAAGAAGAAGCACCGAAATTTTGTTGTAGCATCCCTTTAAAATTGTTGACAACTAAGCAAAGAACGGCGCATGTTTGCAACCTTTCCCCCTGTACTTCACAGCTGCGTCAGAGTGTTTTCAAGGAGACGTGTCACAGGTATGGCCAAAGCGCATGCCAGTTATCCATGTTCGGAACAGTATGTGTGATACTGTAGCTTATAAGTGGTGCAGAGCCATCATTTACAGTACCAACAAATGGAGTATGCTTACCGAGCAGAAACCTGCCGTCGTCTATCAGCCGGCCTTGCTCGAAGTTGCTCCGGAGCCACGAGTAGCGCCACGCGAAGGAGTCGTGCACCGACCCAGGATTCCGTGGGTCGATGCTCATCACCGGGCAGTCGGCGTCACACACCTGCAATAGTGAGACATATGTAGTCATTAATTCAACTAAATCAACAAACAGTTCATTGCACTCATGGTCATGGGGCCCTGTCAAACACTGTTTACATGCTGACCAACACACCACCATAAATTACGTGGTTTACAAACTTAAAATATTAAAACAGCACAAAAAACGACGGACTGGACGAAGAAGGATATAGACAAAGCGCTAAGCGCAAAAAAAAAAAGAAAGAAAAACGACGGATTGGATGAAGGACACAGACAGAGCGCTGTCTGTGTTACAAAGATTAAAATTATATGATAAATAGCCACTACCTTTGATACACGCAATAGTTTAGACAAATTTGTTTTTTTTTTTCTTCAAAGGAGAGTTTACACTTTATCATGCAGGATAGGAACTATTGCTTAAAAGCTTAGCACGACATGAAAACAAGCCTACCTCCGTCGGTCAAGCAAAAGCTTGTGCGGAGGATCAACGAGCACTAACAACCCATAACTCTAATTTATGAAATGACATATCCACACCGCATTAGCGTTACGCTCTTTTTCAAACCCATTCAGAACGGGCATTGGCTTAGAGCTAAAAGCGCGAGCTAGCTGCTTTGGATAAAGCCCCGGCGGCTGCACGAGCGCTCGTGCAGCGAGTGCTCCAGTCAAGCCGTTCGCGCTTGCACAGTCTTCTCAGTTAGTTCATGCTAAGGTGAGACGTAGTATATATGTGATCGTACTGACCACCATCACGTTGAGAGCGTAGTATCGCTTGCGGCACCAATACGCCGCCTTCGTGACGGTGGGGTCGTTCCCTGACGGGCCGACGATGGCGATCATCGTCCTGTCGACGCAACCGATGACGCCGGGTATCCTGCCGAGCCGTTGGAAGCCCCTCTCAACGTCGTCCCTCTCGCCGGTTGTCTGGGGAAAGTCGATCTAGCCGCGCCGGATCCCCACACACTGCACAATAGCGAGGGACACAGCCCGCACAACGATGCTGACTTTAGCCTGATCCCTCGCTATGTGCTCGTCGCTCGCCACCATTCCCTGAAAACTCCCCGTGGCGTAAAAGCGAAGTGCGCACAACACTTGCTGTTCCACAGTCATCACCGTCCACGAGCGTCGCAGCCTCCTCAACTCAGGCTCCTCGCGCAGTTCGTCGCACAACCAGCGGACCACATTTTTGGTGAGACGGTACTGCCTCCGAAAAGCTTCCCCGGTAGTTCAAAGGCATCGCGGTGCTGCCGGTAAAGCCTTTCCGGAGAAAAAAAAAAGTTCCACAATAGGAAAGCTGTCGCTCTGCCTCCGAGACGCCGTCGATGCCGTGTTTCCCATTGCGAAGAGGCGAAGAGATCAGCGACAGACTCGTTCCCCTTTTCAGACGAAACACCGAGGAAACGATACGTGAAACTGTTGTCAGTTCCGGTGGGGGCGATTCGCCCTCTCCGCGCACATTTTCGTAGGGAACTTAAGTCATTCGAGCCTCAACCAATCAGACGCGATGTCGTCACTTCCGTTTCTTTTAGGAGAAACGAAACATTTGTCCAACATAGGTCCCCTGGGACATGGCTCTTCTACCGTTTTCACCACGTGCGAAGAAAGGTGTCGAAATTCCGCCTACTTGCCACAGATCTTAGAAGAAGCCTTAAAATTAGTTTTTAAAAGTATGTCGGTGGCCAAACCACCTGGGCATGATAGAATTTGTTTAAGTGACATTGTAGGTAATTTCGAAAAACTAAAACATCTCTTATTAAAAATAGTGAATTCATCTTTTTCTGAGGGAAATATTCTGAATGGTCTTAAAATTGCTATGGTGAGGCCTGTTTTTAAGAAAGGAAGTAGAAAAGAGATGATAAACTATAGACCCATTTCTATTTTTCCCGTACTATCGCTAATTATGGAAAAGTTTGTATTTTGGTCTATGACCTCCTTTTGTGATATGCATTCTTTACTATGTCACTCACAGTACGGGTTTCGACAAAATAGAAGAACAATTACATTGCTGGAAGATTTGTGCGACCACATTCATGATAATATTGATAGAAATAATTTCGTCCTGTCTTTATTTCTAGATTTGAAAAAAGCGTTCGATTCAATTGATCACAGCTTACTGATATACAAACTTGAGCACCTGGGCTTTAGAGGCCCATTTATAAAATTTTAATCAGCTACCTTTCAGAACGGGATCAATTAGTAAAGGTATGTGATTTTAGAAGTAGTTTCCTGATAATTCCTTCTGGTGCCCCCCAAGGATCTATTTCGGTTTTTTTTTTTTTAACGTCTATGTGAATGAAATAGGTAAATTAAACTTTTGTTCACGCGTTTTTCAATACGCCGATGACGCCGCTCTTGAACTCGCGGGAAACAATGAATCGGAAGCTCTGTCGTCCCGTCAAGCCGATATCTACGAGCTAATGGCATGGTTCAAGAACAATCGTATCTGTGTTAACATGAATAAAACAAAACTAATGTGTTTCCGTAATCCTCATAAAACAATAACATTTAATATACCGATGGTTTTACATCGATCTAACTGCGAGAGATGTAATTGTAGGCCGCTTGAATATGTATCTTCGATAAAATGTATGGGTGTTTTTTTTATGAGCATCTTTCTTGGAATAATTACATTGAGTATCTTGCGAAACGACTTCGCGCAGTATCTGCAACTCGCAAACGATATAAATCGACTTCGCGCAGTATCTGCAACTCGCAAACGATATCTGCAACTCCCAAACGATATGGTTACAACTCGCAAGCGATATAAAAATGCCATTTTTATATCGTTTGCGAGTTGTAACCAACCTGACTTTGAGAATGAGGGTTTTTCAAGCTCTGGGAGAGTCGGTGCTTCGGTATGGTGTCACACTTTATGGTTCTTGTTCGAAATCTAGAAAAAGTGAATTAGATAATATTTTGCATAACATTTGTAAAAATTTAGCATATGGAACCAAATCGAATGAGTTAAGAACAAAGTCAAAGATGCGTTCGCTACAGCTTTTGTCAACTGAAAGATTATATATCTATGAAATACTAGTTAAGAATTATTTTAATAATACGCTTAAGAAACCTGTAACAAAACAAAAGGTTTTGAGCGAAATAGAGCGGTTCGCCCTCCCTAGAGTACACACAAATTACGGAAAGCGGGTTCGGTCTCTTTACGTTCCTTATTACTTTAATTTGTTGCCTAATGAACTTTTATATCTAGTCGTTGAAAGTGATAAAAAAAGAGCTGAGAAATTGGTGTTGTAACTACGATGGTTAAATTGTTGTACGGGTCAAGAGTATTTTGTTTTTCTGTTTATTTTTTGCTGCGCATTATTTGATGTTAGTAGTTTCTCTGCTGGTTGCCAGGTCACGCCTACAAGCACTCACGTGCTTTTGCGGACCTGTTTGTTATGATGTATATTTTCTTCGTGCAATAAAGACATTATATTATATTTTCAAAAACCGGAACATGTCCTAAAAAATCCAGCTGTAATAATGAAAGGGGCCCGGACCTGCCCTATTTAGGCAGGTCCCTTTTCTTGCGAGGATGTCGCGGGTCAGAATCCGAAGTTTACACCTGAAAATCATTTGATTAATTTATATTCTTAAGGTATGCATTCTGAATATGAATACTATATCTCATTTAGTCGTTGTGTGTTCATTCATGAAGCATTTTTATAAAAGTCTGCTATAGCGACCACTTTTCGCTCTAGCAATTTTGTTAAAACTACCAATCAAACACTTTGTTTTTGAAGAAGGGAAGGGAGGACTGCTGTAGTTACTTTTCAATACATGTAATTCAGCGGTTAGTTATTTACTGCCACTGTTTATGTTTATATATATATATATATATATTTATATATAGAATAAAGGGCCACTTCAAAAACTTAACTCCTTTACTTAAACGTTCGACCCGAGACGGGTCTTCATCAGTATGACAGCAAATCGGGAAAGCACTCTAGTAACCCCCAATCGTTGCAAAAAAAAAAAAAGGATGTAGGAGGCAAACAGGCACAACAATGTGCTGCCCGGCCTTCATCTGCCAAAATGGAGCGGGGATCTCGGACCTCTACAACCTTATGGATTTTGTTCCCCAGACCGTCACCACCTTGGTTCTTCACGTGGGGACGAACGATCTGGACATCGTTGGAGCCGACGTAGCATTCGGTAAATTGATAAATACCAACAGTTTCTGCATTTCGTGGGGGCCGAGCGCCCAGAGATCCGGACCGTGCACGCCACTCTCGTGCTCCCGCGCACCGTGAACCGTCGCCGGGGACGGCCCAACTGGCTTCCTGTGCGGCGCTTTAACGCGGAGGCCTGTAGGTTTAATGGCATGCTCCGGCAACACTGTCGACGAACACGCAACATCTTCTTCGTTGACCATGCCTTCGAGCATCTGCCCGCTCGTCGGGTTCTGGCTGCCGATGGCCTTCATCCGTGCTTCGGGGGCGTGGCACTCATCGCCGGGAACCTACAACTTGTGCTTCTCCGGGGACGAAGGGGGTCCCCTCCGCGGTGGCTTGACCACGCGGCTGCCGAGACGAACCCTACCGGGCTCTCGCCTGTGGAACGCCGTGAGGACGGGGATGCCGAGGCCTCATCACTGGAGCGTCGCGAGGATGAGAGCATCACTTCGGCCGGAGGGACCAGCCAGGCACCTGCTGGTGGACCCATAACCGTCTCCGCAGCTTCGGCGACCCCCAGCTCGATGTCGACAACAGCGGTGCGCCCGCCACGACGCGAGACCTCCACGGCCGACCGGCCGACCGGGCGCGCGCACAACTTGCGCAGCAGTTACGCTGCTGCGGCCGCTTCCCAACCTTGACTAACACGTGAGACCCGTTCGACTGTCCCAACCGCTTTGTTTCTAAAATTACGGAAAATATCTGATAGGCACATTAGGCATGAACTTCACAAAGAAACGCTAAAAAAGTATCTAGAGGTAGGCATGGCCTAAGTTTATCGCTCAGGCCCGCAATGATTGATTTGGATTCCAAGGATAGTTCACGATGGCACAGTGTTCTCTCTAGGGCATCGCTGGAGCTTGTAAACATTGTTATAGAACACAGCCAAAAGATAACGATTCAACTTAACCAGGCAGCGAAGGATTTGCTTGCTTCTGCGCGTTTGACAGATGTGGAGACGAGAGATCTTCACGAGTTTGAAAGAAAGAAACGCGAGGAACTGTTCATTAGCAATTAAAAAAAAATTAACAGAGATCAAATTTCCAACGCGCCGTCTCCGAATACAGAGGCACAATCAAACACCCTTCAATCGGCATCACCAGGCGTACATTCACTGGATAACAGGAACCAAAACATTGAAACCCATTATGACACTAACATTGTGAACCTCTCGTCTGCTGACCTCTTGTCGGAGGAAAAAACGCTGCTCTCTAGGGGTCTGAGCTTTTGCCCGACGACAGGCTACTACGATGAATTCAGCCTTCTGCGAGACGTGGAAAATTTCGCACGCAATTTGAAATTACGTGAATTTTTTGGTGACAAACCGGACTCTTCAAACAACCGAATGCCTTGGCGCTCTACAACCGGTTGGACACCTAAACGGCAAAGAGAGAAGCACCTCGATATGAAGATCGAGGCAGTTCAGCGGCGATGTCTTAAAGGCCTAGAGTGGAAGCAACCCCACATCACGCCACAACTTAACATTAGCTGAGAAAAATGGCTTACGATCGTTGAGCACGCGTAAGGAGATAACTGTCAAACCGGCAGACAAAGGAGGTGCGATTGTGGTTTTAAACACGACGGACTTCTTCGCGGAGGGGAACCGACAACTTGGTAACACTCGTTTCTACTCTGCCCTCGATGGCGATCCTACTGCGGATCTCACTGAGATTGTCACCAACACCCTAGCGAATTTGGTTGGACGCGGCAAAATCACGCTAAAGCTTTCTCAATCACTTAAACAACTCCAAGCTTCGCCCGGGCGATTTTACATGTTACCAAAAATTCAGAAACCCGGCAATCCAGGACGCCCCATCATATCAGGTAATGGCACACTTACAAAACCCCTCTCTATTTTTGTCGACGTAATGATAAAAGACATTCCGCCTAGCTTACCCTCGTACATAAAGGACACTAATCACTTTTTAAGGAAGATTTCTTCCCTCTCTATCCCGAAGGACAGCTTTCTTGTAACGCTTGACGTTTCCTCGCTCTACACAAACATACCCCACGACGACGGTATCGCCGCCCTTATCGAGGCCTACGAATTTCATAGAAGCCCTGACACACCTGATGGCTACATGGTCTCGATTCTCACGCGACTGGTGTTGGAGCTCAACAACTTCGAATTTGATGACAAATTCTCTTTGCAGATCAGCGGTACGGCTATGGGGACGAAAATGGCCCCAAATTATGCAAATATCTTTATGGGTAGCTTTGAATCTAAAATCCTCTCTCCTCAGCGGCTTACGCCTTTGTTCTACCGACGCTATATTGACGATATTTTTTTTATATGGACGCATTCGGAAGAAGAACTCAAATTTATTAAAGATTTCAACACTGTACATCCTAGTATTGCCTTCACCCACGAATATTCAAAAATTAGTATTAACTTTCTAGATGTCACGGTCCGGATATCTGGTACGGTATTAGAGACAAAGGTCTATAGAAAACATTCAGGCAGACAGGAGTATTTGCATTACCACAGCTCTCACCCGCGGCACTGTAAGAATAACATCCCATATGGACAAGCTCACTGATTTAAACGCATCTGCTCAAACGAAAGCGACTTTAATTCCAGCGCCGATCAGCTGAGGGATGTCCTGGACAAGCAGAAGTACCCGAAGGGCATTGTTGATGAGGCTATCAGCAGGGCAGCGGCACTGGACCGTAACAAACTTTTATCCGATCCGCCGAAGATCAGGAATGACCGCCCGCCCACCAATCTGGTATTAACGTACGACGCGAACCTTCCGAACCCGAACAAAATTTTGAAGAGACATTTTAACATAATTGAACAAAGCCCCCGACTAAGCCAGGCTATTACCCCGCCTCCCCGCGTTAGCTACAAGCGCTCAAAAAACTTAAAAGACACACTGGTAAACTCCCGAGTATCTGCCCCCGCAACTCCCTCCTGCGGGCCATGCCTGAAATCAGGCTGCAAGGTGTGTGACCCTTGTTTCCACTGATATGGCAAGAAGCTCAAAATCAAAACTTCGGCTTGAAGATACGCGGACGCCTTACTTGCGACTCAGCGAAAGTAATTTACTTGCTCCATTGCATCGTATGCGGAATGCAGTACGTGGGACAGACGGAAACAGCATTTAGACTTCGATTTAACAATCACAAGTCGCACATCAACTCTCTCCCTGGTTTGCCACTATCCAAACATATGAGGCTGGAAAATCACTCGTTCGAGGAAGTAACAGTGACGATTCTCGAGACCGGCTTTAAATCAAACTACGAACGCGACCAAAGGGAGTCGTCCTCATCCACAAGTTTGACACACGTAGGAATGGGATCAATAGAAGCCGGGGCACACTTAGCGTGATTGATGTCTTGGATCCTGCTGTCCCCTAAAATAATTCCACCATTCTCTTTTTTGTTGTTGTTGTTGTCGTTTGTTGTTGTGTTTGTGGCCTTACCCGCAAACCAGATTTTAACGAATCTGTGCAGTTGCGCTTGCGCCCGGGCGAACCTGCGCCTCCGGGGACTCACCCTGGTTGAGTCCCGCTACACCTCTCTTTCCCTTCCGCCCCCCCCCCCCCCCCCCCCTACGCGACCTTTTTCATTTTGTGTGCGTGAATACATTGTTGTGCCTGTTTGCCTCCTTCCTCCCTTTTTTCTTTTTTGCAACGATCGGGGGTTACCAGAGTGCTTTCCTGATTTGCTGTCATACTGATGAAGACCCGTCTAAGTAAAGGAGTAAAGTTTTTGAAATGGCTCTTTATTCTATATATATATATATATATATATATATATATATAGATATATTTAGTTACAAGAACGCGGATATGTCAACCTGGTAGAGTGTCTGTTTAACACCCAAGCAAATATCACGACTTTCGTCCTCGCTTCCTTGGCTTCTCGGTGACCTCAGTGCTCGTCAGCCTTGACGCCACGTGCCACTTGCCAGTGCTGTCCATCTGTTTTGTCGGGCACCCTCACGTCCTTGGCCGTGTTCCAAAATTTACTCGATCTTACTCCAGGGTGTTTTGTACCTTTGCGTTCGGAAGCCTACCTGTGTCCAGCGTCGCTTTATCTGTGTCATCGTGTGACACGACCCGCAGGAGTAACGCGGATCTATTTGGGCTATTAGGGTGAGATTTCGAACACAGCCTTTCCCTTGCCTGTTTTCGGGACTTGAAGAGCAGCCAAGGTCTTGGGCGATTGACCTACAGCTAACAGGGCCTGTGGGTAGCTTCCCCGACCCACGAGATGAGTATGGTCAAGGCATTCGTAACCCAGGCAGCACAAAACGTCGTGGAAACGTCGAGAAAAAGTTCCGGACGTCCGTGACGTCCCGCATGACTTCGATCACGTTTTTCAGATGTTGAGGTGACGTCCTTATATAACGTTCCATTAGAGTCTAATCAGTGACATTGTGACGACGTTGTATTTCAACTCAAACGTCGTCAACGTTCCCACGACGTCGATGCACGACGTTCTCACAACGTCCAACGCTCACGTTTCTTTGACGTTGAACTGAAGTTCATAAATGACGTCGCATTATCGTCCTGTCCGTGACGTACTGGTGACGTCACGTTTCAACTTTAATGTCGTCATCGTCGCCACGACGTCTAGACAAAACGTTTTAGCAACGTCGAACACTGACGTGTCTTCAAAGTTAAAATAAAGCCCAGGGTGACGTTACATTATTGCCCCGTGAGTGACGTTTCAGCGACGTCGCGTTCTCACCTAAATGTCATAAACGTCAAGACGTGCTGGCAACGTCGACCACTCACGTTTTGTTCGACGTTTTTGGATTTTCCAGCTTAATCTCCAGCCGCAGAATCACTGTGGTCAAGGTGACAGTGTTCAAGAGCCGCAAACAAAACTTAATTTTTGAGAGCTTGAGAAGTTTAATTATTTATACATTAATTTGCGTATTTCAAAATGCTAATAATTGCACATCGATGACGCTAAAGAGGGCATTTACAAAACTCACTGTACGCGGAAGAAAAAAAATAGTATGAAAGCATGTTGGGAATATCATTCCTTTTAGATGTGCTTGTTGTAATTTTGGTTTGTTTAAAATATTGTTACGGGTTTAATTTGCGAAGCCCATGGCGTCTAGAACGGATCGAATTGTACCATTCTTGCATTTTGCACGCGCGTTGTCGTCTTCCATGGGTCCTGGGCCCTGGCACGCGCCTCAGGGGCGCCGCTACACTGGCTACACTATCCCCTCTCCGGGTGATTTCAGGCCTGCATCCTTTCCTAGGAGCATCCATACTGTTTTAAGGTTCGT